TGAATGACTGGATGATGGCAAAATAAAAGTGACCTTTTTTTAGTAAATAAACCTATTTGTTTTTAAAACATATTTCCTAATCTTTACCTGTTGCTGTCACCTGCAACTCCTCATAAACCAATATGTTCTCTAAAATTACTAACATGTATTACATTGATAACTACACATCCCTCTGCTGCAGTGTCAGATGGGACTTGTCTCCAGTCACAGATCCTGTGAAAGGATCCATGAATAGATGATGCAGTTGTGTGGGCAGAGCCGCGCACAGCCGCAACATTTTTAACCAACAACAGCAGCTTGCGGGGAGAAGAACTCCAGGCAATTCAGGTAAATAGGGCGGAGAAGGAGGGTGGCGATGTGACCATGTTTCATGTTACACCCTTAATATGGTCTAAAAGGTTAAATCAGTCTTTAATTCTCTTAAAAACCACCTCTATATTTCAATCGTCCGCCTCCCGCGATTATCTAAAACTGCCCAAAATTTCTGAACTTTCAAGATTCAAGAATTTTCATCCACCTGCTTGTGTAAATAGCAAATACACTGCAATTTCCTGTCTCAGTAGGACAGGAGCAGGTATAGAACATCTGTATTGTTTGCTAAAGGGGAATTGCGTTTCCTTTCAGGGCTCATGTTGACTGGCGTTGTTTTTCTGCATTTGATATGCATTTGGAGTGCACATCAATATTGAAAAACAGTAGGTCACCCTACACTCCTTGCAGCATCTCGGGCCAAATCACAATGGTGGTGCTCGCAGTGATAATCACGGATGGCTTCATCTTGTCTTAAATTGTATTGTGACTGTAATGTCTTCCTTATATTGTAAAGCGCTGTGCAAACTATTGGCGCTATATAAATCCTATATAATAATGGCGCCGTGCACATCAGACAGTAGAAAACAGGAATCACCAGCACTCAGTAGGTAATGTTCAAATGGTAACGTCCATTTATTCGGACAAATCGTCACACATATCGCAATAACCAACGTTTCGGGGCCACGCAGGGTCCCTTCATCAGGGCAATGATGTGACGTCATAAATGGACGTTACCATTTGAACATTACCTACTGAGTGCTGGTGATTCCTGAATTCTACTGTCTGGAGTGCACATCAAACACAGGTCAGCAAAATCCAATTGACTTTAATTGAGCATTACGCATGGCAGTTTAGAAGCTGCGCTTGACCTTCTTTACGTTGCCCTTTTTTTTTTTGTAGCATGTCCTAGTGAGATGCGTTTGAAGCGCCAGCCAAGCAGGTCAAATGCGCCTTTTCTTGTCATACGAATGGCAAGCGCAGCGGTTTAAAGGAGCGCCTGAGCTTTCCATAGCATTTCCTATTGCAATCAGACAGCGCCATCTGGTGGAATATTTTAAGAAAGCAGCCCGCAGTATTCATTGCCCCCCAATGGATGAATTATGATGAATGGATCTTTAGTTATAAAACCGCCGGAGCTAAACGCAGTCTCTAACAGCTCAAAGCAACCAGTCAGTCTGGAGCCTACAATGGGAAAAGATATTTGGAGGATGCAAAATCCATTCCTGCTCTCTGCAAGTTCTAGAACTAGGTGGTTGTAAGAGACTTTCATGTTTACAAGTTGTTTTCCTGTTTATCACACACAACACTGTCTTATAAGACCCATTTAGCACATCCTGGTAGCATTTTAAACATTCAAATATTTTCCACTTATAAATATTGATTTTAGAAGCCCAGGGCACTTAAAGTAGTATTAAATGCTAAATTTAGTTTTAATAAAAATGTTGTTTTAATAATGAATCCAGACCAAATATACAGTATGTTGCCTAGAAAAGTATTTCTTAAATTTTTTTTGCCCAGGCACTTATAGTCCTCAAGCTTCCAGACAGCTCCAACTTTCTCAGCTCGGCTTCCCTGAACTTCCTGTCCAGTACAAGATCACAAGGAATATGGAACAGAACAGTCTTCAGCAGCTGTCCATCTACTATCTTGGAAAATGGAGAAGGGAGGAGGGAGAAAAGAGTAGTGTGGAGCCCAGAGTGGGTAGTGGCTTGCCTTGCTCTGCCTGTGTGTTTGTGGAGACACACACAGCTTGCTAGCACACACAAGGGTGGCTCCATAGATCCTGCAAGGGAAAGGGAGCCACCTTCAAACAGAAAATCAGATCCAGTGCATAGGGGGCCAGAAAATGCTGCAGGAAACTAAAACTTTTAAACGTAAAAGAGCAGCATCCTTTGTAAGTGATTTAATCGGCATTTGAAATATGGACTGCATGGAGCTTCATACAACATCTGTACATCAGTGACATTGTCAACCTCGTATCTTATTAAATGGGATCTGAGTTTTAAGAATTGGTATACGTTCAATGCAAGTATCAATAAAGCATCAAGTGTATCTAAACCAAAAAGCAAAAAATCTAATTGTAAGCTTGCCAATTCTTAGATGAGATGGCTGCATTCGTTTTCTTTCTTTAGGCTTTTGTTCTTTTAGTTTCATCTGGTGATCTGGCAAATAAATCGTTTTTTTAACTTCTTATAACAGGCCAAACTATCCAGCAAAAGTGGAAGATAGAGAGTTGAGACAAACTTTTTAACACTGACTGGGGTGCTACTGCTAACAATTGTTAGTTATTATTTATTTATATAAAACCTTTATCACAAATGGAAAAGACCCTGTCCACAGGTGGACAATACTGCTGTCCAAGGGTGGCTCCATTGCTCCTTTAGAGAGTGGAGTCAGCCTATGACAAGAAGTGTGTTACTGTCCAGATCACCAGGTAAACATATAGGGAAAAAGCCTAAAAAATAAAACTAATGCAGCCACCATATTTAAGGATTGGTAAGCTGCATTATATTATATTTTTGTATTTAGATACACTTTAACTCTGGGCAAATGGTTACATACACAGCTGAAATACATATGGGAGCTGGTTTACGTTCCAAAAGATTTGCATTTCTGCAATCTTACACAGCTCTTCCACACAACACAGCCCTGTCTGGCAGGGCAGGAGACATGATTTTTTTCTTAAAACTTGCAGGTCTTGTCCCCCCAATCTGTAAATGCACATTGAAAGGAGAAGCAACCAACTGATGAGATAATCCTCTTTCACATTTTGCTCTCTTCTCCTATTAGCATGTTCTTTGATAGCACATGAGCACTGCACCACACCGCATGGGCTGCCAGTCAGGCCTGGATTTCCCACAAGGCCACCGAGGCCCGGCCTCGGGACGGCAGGGCGCAGAGGGGCGGCAGCGGTGGGGAGTCCCCCGACGCCCGGAACATACAGTTCCGGGCGCTGGGCGGGTAAGTTGCCTTGTGGGGAAATCCGAAAGTAAACGATAAGCTAAAAATGTAAAAAAATAAATAAAATAAAAAAAGTGATAAAAAAGAAAGAAACAATAAAATAAATAAAACTAACCCTGCCGCCCCTGCCATCCGGTTGCCATTCTCTGTTGATGGGGGGGGGGGGATGCCAGGGGTGGGGCGCAAAGCAGAACCTGGCCTTGGGGCGGCAGGGATAGTAAATCCGGCCCTGCTGCCAGTCCTGCCTCTTCCGGTCTTCGTACCCCTGTATAATGGGTTTCAAAAGACAGATACAAATTCAAATTTAGGTACCTACACTGCTTGCATTTAAAAAAGTATTTAATTTGTATTGATGAATGCAGAATTGCATCAATTTGTGTATTTTATATATAAAGTCCCATGTTTTTCCTAAAAATGTTAGCACTGGAAGGAAACTCTATTTTCCATCACAAAAAGCTGAGAATTATGTACTTCTTAAATGATGGAACATTGTCTGTGTGCATATGAGACTGAAGAAGATCACATGGCATTGATATAACATTCAAGAATAGAACATTTTTGTAATTTTTTACAGGCATTGGATATGCCTCACAGGTGATTGAATCCTACCTGAACATCTACTATATTGTCATCCTCTCCTGGGCTCTGTTCTACCTCTTCAGCTCATTCACTGCCGAACTGCCGTGGGCTTCCTGCAACCACACCTGGAACACAGGTAAGAGGGGGCACCATATAGTTGTGTTGTACAGTGTTGGTGCTGAACTGAGTATGGAAGCACTGTCACCCTCTCAGTTCTTGTATGGAAAGAAAGGAGAAGAGTACCAAGCCATAGCTATAAGTACAGATATGAATAAAAGGGTCCACCTAGAGTTGGCAGACAATTTGTTAGCTGTGAGTTCTTGTATGGAAGTAAAGGAGGAGAGCACCAAGCCACAAGGATTGGCTCAGATATAAATAAAAGGGTCTATCAAGAGCTGGAATTAAGGAGATTCCCTACTAATTTTTTTTACAAATTAACTGATAAGCTGAGTTCTTTATTTGCGCTAAATTGAAGACGAAATAAAAAGCAATAATGTGCAAAAATATATATAGTTATTAACTAAAAATCAGTGCAAAATAATCAAAATATAATTGGTGGCAATAAATAATAAGGATCAAAATGTGCAATAATATTGATCAACAAAGATCATTTTAAAAAAAGGATATTTTCCAATAAACATAAAACAAAATTATGTATCTCCTAAAATGCAGCTAGTAACACTCTCAGTAGCTCAGAGGGATGTGACAAAATAATGTGCAGACTCAACACGTGACCTCTCCCAACAAAACAGATATTCAAAGCTCAAAATCCTTACTGCGCTTGAACTAATTTGGAATACTATGCTAGCGAGGACTAGCTAATCAGCCAATAATCTATCTGAGGTAAAGACAAACTTCCACTAAGTGATGTTATTTTTACGTATATATCACAGCTAGACCATCGACTAGAAACTGAAATCAGCTTCGAGGAGACTCCAAAGAGACTCCCCCCAAAATTGAAGGGGAGACAATTTTTACTAGAGATAAGATTACTTCAATTCAACCCCGATGCCAGCCCATCAATTAGCTTCAGATCCTTCCTGTGTGTGTGTGTGTGTCCGTCTTCTTTTCCTGTATGTGTTGGTTCCCTCACCCAAATTTTCTCCTAACTTTTATCACCCAAAATGTGGGCGGAGAAAAACAATCCTTATCTTGACCTAATTATGACATCAGGAAGTGTCTCAATTTTCTTACAAATATAAACAATTACCTGAAATTACATACACAATTAGCTGAAGAGGGCAATGTTGGACTAGGAATAATTTTGGATTTTTCCTTAAAATTCTTACATTATGTCTCGAGTTGACCTCTGACCTTTGGCTGGTTAAAAACCCCCCATAAAATTAAGAGATGGCCTGTTACTTGACAGAATTTGTCAGACATACTGGAGGCTAGTGTCTCTTTAAGAGATATATTGTTTGAGAAAGTTTGAAAAAAAAAATATCTTTCAGACATACAACGAAGATGAAGTCATTTGTACTGAGAGATCGTAGTCACTTAAATTCTTTCATTGCTTGCAGACGTTATAATAATGTGATCAATTATAATCATATGTATTCTTGAACATACCATATTAATAATATATACTAATATATGTCAATAAGTAAAACGAAAGAATATATATATAAGGTATATAGGTTGAATATTGCATGGAAAAAAAAAATTACTGCTGACATGAAACCCAGACACAGCATTCAAAACCCGGACTGTCCGGGTCAAGTCTTAGTATACCGCGAGCTGTAGCTTACTTATACCTACTTATACTGAGCTTTGGGCCACGGGAGGACGCTAGTATATGTCCTCCCGTGACCCCTAAGAGAACTATGGGGAAAAACACTTACCCCATAGTTCTCCTTTAAGCTTGAGACATGGCATCTCCATTAATCTCAGTCTAACACAGTCTGGTACCATGGTCAGTGCTTATTTAATCGCTGTTGTCTAGTACCCCCCAGAATTTACAGCCTGGGAATGTATGCTGTAAGGGTCTTAGAATGGTTGATGTTAGAGTCTTTGTCCAAAAACCATGAACTCAAATTCACCTTATATAGTGATAGAATATAAAGAACAAAAATGGCTTCCAGTATGCCAATGTTACACTAGGTAGAGATGATAAGCTCAGGCCTTACAGTTTAATTTTCGTGAGCACTGAATAATTCCCCACATTTCATTGGTCACACACCAATCCCCTTCACCAGGGATTCTATTTATTGAGGAAGAGCAATTTAGAAGAGTGCTTATCTGGATTTTAGTTCTTCATATGATGTTCCTCTCAGTTCTGACACTCAAGTCTTACAAGCAAATACATGTTCCTCTGTCCACACAAAAATATGTAATTGTATCTCGGTCTGTCATCTGTGTCTCTCTCTTAACTCCACAGAAAACTGTGTTGATGACATCAAAAATTTCCAGAATTATACAGCATCTCCAAATGCTACCTCACCTGAGGTGGAATTTTGGGAGTAAGTGAACATCCTTCAAAACTTGCAGAAAATGTATTTTATTTACAGTATTATTTGAAGCTGGGAATCTGTGTCAGTTTTCTCTTGTTGTATGATGAGTATACTGTATATATATACACAGTATACAGTATATAGTTTCACTGCTTCCTTATCATACAAAGTAATTTGGATTGAGAAACCAAGTGAATGTCGGATAACTGAGACTTCTCCCACCAAGTTGGGGAGGCTTTAGGTCCTTCCTAGACCTTAAGGTCTAGGGTAAGATTCTTTATGTTCAAAATGTTTTATAAGAGCACATCCAAACTCTCTTTTGGAGGGCTGAATGTGCCTGCAAATAATGATAGTGAATGTGAATTAGACAGTTTAATTTTAGGTAAATCTGTCACTAAACCCTTTATAAATGAGCTAATGTGTGTATATATTACCAGGAACCGGGCGCTGGGCTTGTCCTCTGGGATCGATCACCTGGGATCGATCCGCTGGGATCTGGCACTGTGTCTCCTTCTTGCCTGGATCATCTGTTACTTCTGTATCTGGAAAGGCGTCAAATCCACTGGAAAGGTGAAGCTGTCATTACCATGTAGGGCCGTGGGTTAACCAAGTAAGGTCCTGTGACGATGGGCAAATGTCCCATGCTTTTAGGTTCATCCAGCTTGCATTTGAGATCAGTTTGAGACATTTCTGAGTTCCATATGAGTACATTCATAGGTGAATGTGACCTGTAGCTGATATCCTTCTGACTTGCAATTAACCTCTTTCTAAGCTGCTTCAAGTTGCTTTCGCTTTGACTTGTATGAGGAGAAAAACAATTCTGACACAAACAAAAGCCCATGTACACAGGCCTTTAAAAAGAATAAGATGATTGTCCATCAAGTTAAGCTTATTCCAGTATTGCTGTAAAACCTCCGGCTCATATAAAACAGACCTATCATTGTAAGGCCTTATCATTTTAAGGGTGATTAGGACCGTACACGTCATAGAATCTGCGTAAACCTGCAGGGGGGATGTTTGTGATCAGCCGAGGCCATGGTAAAGCCCACATGTGCCACCATGACTGTGCCCCTGTGTACACAAGCCAGCTCCATAATGACATGGTTTGACCATTTGGGTGTGGAAAAACTCAAGTGTCCTGCACAGAGCCCTGACCTTGGCCTATTTAACAACTTTGGGATAAACTGGAATAACGATTGCTAGCCAGATCTTCTTGTCCAACATCAGTGACTGACCTCATAAATGCTCTTTTGGCTGTATGGGCACAAATTCCCAAAGACATACTGCAAAATCCCATAGAAAGCCTTCCCAGAAGAGTGGAGGCCATTATGATTGCAAAGGGTTGGAGGCAGCTCCATAGTAATGGCCATAGTTTCAGAATATTATATCAAACAAACTTATATAGGTGTGACCTGTAACGGTCCACAAACCTTCACCCATATAGTTTATGTTGTGTATTTTGCGTTATTATATAGTTATTAATTTTTGTCTGTTGGCTAACACTGCCTTCTGGTGACAGGTTGTATACTTCACTGCTACCTTTCCATATCTGATGCTGATCATTCTGTTGATTCGAGGAGTGACGCTGCCTGGAGCCTACGAAGGGATCATTTTCTATCTAAAGCCAGACATCAGCCGGCTGAAGGACCCTCAGGTGAGGTGGGTCATGGGCAGCATATAAATAGGATTTCTCACCAGAGCTGTACGTTCAGAAGATAATTGGATATTGTGAATGATGCTGAAAAAAGGAAAATGAAATATCACGCTGAGCTGCCCTTGAAAAGTATGGGCGAAAAGGAAAAAGATGGTGGATTTATAGTGCACACTTATTTGAAAAAAGTATTGCACATGACCTGGCCACAGATTTTGGCAGGAACTTCTATAAGCAGCTTTGAAAATGCTCTCTCCAATGACTATCAGAGAGACAGTGTTACCAGCATCTTTGCTTAATTGGTTACTTTCTATTGCTGCACTGAAAGTTTAAGTGAACTAAAAGGTAGGGAACGGCTAAACCTCTGTCAGGCTTTCTTGCTGTCTATGTCCATGCTGGGGAAATTCACCCTCTGTATATGTCCTGGTGACCAATGCCACCAAAGCACAGGTGAGGGAAAATAAAAAAATCTTGAGATATCATAAAAACAGTGATAGAGAGAAATGTTCCAGTGGGAAATCTGTTCTGATAACTGGTTCACATTGATCGAATTGAAATAGTTATTTATTTCAGGCTGATTGTGGTGGCATATAAAAGCTTTGTATACATTGTTTATACTGAAGGTGTGGATGGACGCAGGGACCCAAATCTTCTTCTCGTACGCCATCTGCCAGGGATGTCTGACAGCGCTGGGGAGCTACAACAAGTACAACAACAACTGCTATAGGTATGTGAGGAGTGCTGATTCAGGTATAATGTGTTGTGTGCTTGTAGAAGAGGCCGCTAAATGCAATCAATGTGCTTTAGAGGCCAGACAATTTATTTTCAAGTTATTAGAGAGGCTAAAGTCACAGTTCAACCAATGTGCTTACTCATTAACTTACTTTGATTGCTCCCCCCCAACCCCCCCATCTGACCTATAACAAAATCTAGCATCAGGTATAATAAAATTGCTAACAATTATGGACATTTTAAAAAACAAACTTGCATATCTGTAATCCTGCAAGTTTACAACCCAGACTAGTAATGTATTTTATGTTATGACTGTTACAAAAGTACAAAATGTTTGCAATTTTATTCATCCACACCCCAACTCAAAGGGTGACCTTACAACTCACTACAACAGTTCTGTAGATTTCTGAGCCACCTCCTCACCGCCAGCCTGCCCCCTTGACTGAAAATGAGCAGCAGCACACTTTTGAGGTCCCCTTGCTTCTGTGAGCAGCCTCAGCCCTTCCAGTTCCCAGTGCCTGATAAATGTTAGCATGACGGCACAAAACATGGTAGCAACTACAGATTTGTCTTGAACTTGACTTGTCTTGCACTTGTGCTCTCGTATGGATTTTTGATTTTTTAATATCTAAAAATAGATTTTAGGTGGTATTTAACATCTTTCTGTCTCATTTTGCTTTTGATGTTCTCACCATATACAGGGACTGCATAGCGCTGTGCTTCCTGAACAGCATCACCAGCTTTGTGGCGGGCTTTGCCATCTTCTCTGTTTTGGGGTTCATGGCTCGGGAACAGGGGGTCCCTATTTCTCAGGTGGCAGAGTCTGGTAAGTTGAAAGACTTCTGTTTTTAAATGGCAGTAAATGAGTATGATATAGTCTGTAAAGGTCACAGCTGAATGCCAAATAAAACAACAATACACATCTGAAAAACATATATGTGAGCCGTTATACCTGCCAAAGGATTTGTACTGTTTAGTTGATCTTATGTCCAGTTGGAAATGCAACAGCATATACTGATAATTTGTCTTTTGAGCTGTAGATGGTGCTGTAGTGCAATCTTAGTTTTTTTATATGTATGCTTATCTATGATACACAGGAAGTTCTTTTATATATACTGTATATATGTTTCCTTTACAATGCTGTATTCTGATGTAATGTTCTTATAAGCAAGTAAAACTTAATTTAGCATTCCTCAAGATCTCAGTGCTTCATCTAAACACATAATTAACACAGACATCAACTGTATTAATGGGTGAGGAGAAGTTTAGAATGCTGCCGAGACAAGGAGCACCACAATTTTAAATATGCAGCCAACCTGCAACATCAAATCCAACCACAGCAACCACTTCACTAATGAATTTCCCAACATCGATTTAGGTGACATCTACTCTCTGTATTCATGTTATGCCCACAAAACTACAGTTTCCAGACTACTGTTAGGTCTATTTATTAAGGTGCTACTCATAAATCAATATAGTTGTTGCACATTTGGTGGTCCTACATTCCCAGGAGCCTACCACAAGTCAAACAGTCTGCGGAAAACATTCCCTAAAAGACCTCATTCTCCTGAACATTCTCAAGAACATCATACCACTAAAGAAGTCCGGGGCTACCTTACACACCCATGCTTAGGTCTTGTGATCCTGACATCCCTGCCAGAAAGCAAAGCCAAACCAAGCACGCTGGTTTTTTTACTGCAGGAAAAGGAAATCTGTTATTGTCTACCTTTTGATAATGCCAGTTGCCTGGCTGAAAGACTGATCCTCTTGCTACAAGTCACTGACCTCAAGCAAGAATGCAGATAAACGTCTTGGTCAGTGACTTGTTACATAGTAAAGCGTGTCGGTAAACATAACAACTGTACACCTAGTATTCTCAGAACATAATTGAGAATAACAGCCTTCATATTTCTCTCTTGGCAGGATTACTTGTAGGATCTTGACTAATCTTTTGCTGTAGTAGGATGAAGTTAGACCTAAAAAAAATAAAAAAAAACAAAGACATAATCTGTTGCTGCATGGGTTATCCTGATGCACCTCCTCTCTGGCAACCTCCCGGACAACAGCCTGCCAGACTACAACCATATCAGGATTTAAAATGAAGATGGTCCAGTAACAAAGGGTCCACGGAATTAAGCAAGTGTTTATTAATACAAAATGTGTAGCAACTATGTTGTTTCAGTTTTATTTAGCTTTATTCTCTAGTAGAATCTTAAAGATATACTGAATGGTCAAATAAGATACTGAAAGTAGACCTTGTCCGGTAGTTGGATTTTGAAGCCCTGATGATAAAACAGGATATTGTTTTATCATCAAGACCTCAAGTCCTCACAATGAAATTATATTTTGAAGATCTGACACTGAAGCTAGATCTTCATGACCTTATAGTAAAGCAGGATATGGAAGATCTCACACTGAAGCAGGATCTTAAAGAACTCATGCAGAAGCAGGATCTTGAGGACATCCCAATAAAGTAGGATCTTGAAGACCTTACACTAAGGTAGGATCTTAAAGACCTCATGCGGAATCAAGATCTTGTAGACCTCAGACTAAAGTGGGATCTTGAAGATCTCACACTCAAGCAGGATCTAGAAGACCTCATACTGAGGCAGAACCTTGAAGCCCTCACAATGAAGCAAGATCTTTAAAACCTCACAATTAAGCAAGATTTTGAAGACATCACACTCATTTAGGATCTTGAGGACCACATAATGAAGCAGGATCTTGAAGACCTCACACTGGAGCAGGATCTTAAAGATCCCACGCTGAAGCACTCTGAAGCTTGTAAAAATATTAGTAATGTTAAAGTATGCAATCCTTCACACCCACCATGTCTTTTTCAATAAAACCTCTTAACCTTACTGAGGCTTTCTTGCCTTTATAGGTCCTGGACTTGCTTTTATTGCCTATCCAAAAGCTGTAACAATGATGCCTGTGGCACCTCTCTGGTCATGCCTCTTCTTCCTTATGCTCATCTTCTTGGGACTCGACAGTCAGGTATGGAAAGATTTCAGGAGACAGAGGGATGGTCATATATACTGTATATTTATTATTAGCGGTAAGGGCTGAAGAGTGCAGCAAGAGCAGGAAAGGTTCTTATAAATAAGGGCAGAAGAATTATTTGTAGTAACAGAAGGTAAATTAATTAGTAAAAAAGGGAAAATTGATTTTTTTGTAATAAGTGCAAGGAAGGTTTTTAGCAGTGAAGGCTAAAATAATTATTTTTAGTAAGAACAGTACATGTTATTAAAAGTAAGAGTGATGAAGTCTTTGCAGTAGGGCAGTAAAGTCTGTTGGTAGTATGAGCAGAAGAATTCTTTAAAACATGAGCAGGGAAATTTATCAGTGGCAAGGTGAAATGTTTTTTTTTTTTGTAGTAAGAACCAAAAGTTTTGTTTTTTTTAGTAGTAAAACGAAGGAATTGTTTGTAGTAAGAAAATAAATTGTTACTAAAGCAAAGTGGCATCCACAGTAAGAACTGGAAGATTTGTTATCATTAATGGTGAAAGCATTTTCTGCAGCAAGACCAAAAAGAGGTTTTAGCAGTAAGGTGCAGAAGAAACATTTGCAGTAAGGACAGGAAGAGTTACTTTCAGTAAGGACAGGAGAGTTTTTTGCAGTGAGGGTAGGAACATAACTAAAACTATTTTGAGAACAAGATGGGTTCTCTGCTTTTAGGGCACTTAGAAATGCCGAGTATGATACATGTCGATTAATGAATTCTCTCTCTGCAGTTTGTCTGTGTAGAGAGCCTAGTGACAGCCATCGTAGATATGTTTCCTGAGGTGTTCCGGAAAAAATATCGCCGTGAATTCCTCATTCTGGCAATAGCCATCATCTGCTATCTCCTGGGACTCGTCCTGATAACTGAGGTACAGTGTTATTCCTCCCCAATTGTAGGCAAGCTCATAAATTTACTTTGTGTTGTCCTGGGCACTTTGTGCTGCCCTGGATCCCCTGTGCTTTCATGGGCCCTCTGTGCTCTTCTAACAATTCTGTAGTCTTACCGTTGGTGTCCTGTGTGTTTTGTGCTGTTCTGGCCCCTTTGTGCCATCCTAGGCGCTCCTTGCCATTTAGGGTACTCTGGGCCACCTGGATCTGCTGTGTTGTCCTGAGTCTTCTGTGCTGTTCTGAGCGCTCCATAAGGTTCTAGGCCCTTTGTGTTGTTCTGGGTCCTCTATGCTGCCCCCAATCCTCTGTGTTGTCCTGGGTCTGTTGTGCTGTCTTGGGCCATTTGTGCTGTGCTTGGCCAACATGGGTCCTCTATGCTGTCCTTTGTCCTCTGTGCTGTCCTGTGTCCTTGGTGGTCATGGATCCGCTCTGTTATCTTGGGTCCTCTTTGCTGACCTTTGTCTTCTGTGCAGTCTATTGTCCTCCTTGCTGTCCTGGCTGTTCTGTGCTGTGCTATCTGTGCTCTCCCGGGTCCTCGGAGGTGTTTTAGGTCCACTATGCTGTCTGAGATTCTTTGTGCTGTCCTGAGCCTTTCATGTTACCCAACAATCCAGCTGCTTCTGTAACGTTTATGTCTTAAAAGAGTAAGGTATGACATATAATGGCATGTTGCTTTCCTCACCTAAGATGATGTCTCTCCTTCACAGGGTGGGATGTACGTCTTCCAGCTTTTCGATTATTATGCTGCCAGTGGGACCTGCCTGCTGCTGGTTGCCATCTTTGAAGTAGTTTGTGTCGGCTGGGTGTACGGTATGTCTGATTTCTTTTTTGTATGAGACCATTAGCTCAAATTTTATCAAATATAATTCTTCACTTTGTTTCCAGGAGCCGATCGGTTCTATGACAATATTGAGGATATGATTGGCTATCGGCCGTGGCCACTGGTAAAGTTTTGCTGGTTGGTGGCTACCCCTTCTGTCTGTATGGTGAGTCTTTTAACAGATAAGATGAGGTTGCTGCATGATTGTTGCATGAAGCATAGTTATCCCTCAAAGCTACTTAACTACAACAAAACAAAGAGTTCAACTTGTACCAAGAGCTTATTTTCCCACCATTGTTTTTCTGACCTTCAACTTTCATTTTATATCCTAATACTTGATTGATTTATATTATGATTTGAAGGACTAATAAAACACAAGTTTGTTGTCATGAAAATGCATACTTACTGAGAATACTTGCGTATTGTTTCTGTTTCATTGTATCTTAAAAATGTTTCTTCCCCTGCAGGGCACATTCCTATTCTCCCTCATCAAGTATACGCCCCTGAAGTACAATAATCGCTATGTGTACCCACCATGGGGTTACGCTATAGGCTGGCTCATGGCTACCTCATCGATGATCTGCATCCCGGTCTATGCCGCCTATATCACCCTACGGACCAAAGGTCCATTCATACAGGTAAGTGTGTGGGTGGCTATTGTCACATATAAAGCAAGTGCATTGCCGCACAGGAAAGAGATAGGGTAATCAATTGCTATGTTTTACATATTTGAATATTTAGTAATCTGGTGAGGTTAAGGACAGCTCCACCTAAACGTAAACTGTATACATTTTTTGTATTTTTTGCAAGGTCTCTGATAATAATTAAAGATCTTTTCTGCTTAAAGGATAGACAATGAAATCAGCCACATGAGAATTTACAAATATTTATTCACCTATGGTCATCATTTGAACATTGGGTGGTTGTACATTATATGCATGCATGACCAGAGTCCAACGTTGGATTGGTGGCGTTTGATTCTTCACCCTATAGGTTATTTATTTGTATTATTATTATACAGGATTTATATAGTGCCAACAGTTTGCACAGCGCTTTACCATATAAGGAAGACATGACAATTACAATACAATTCAAGATTTGATGGCAAGGAGGGCCCTGTCCGTGAGGGCTTAAAATCTAAACGCTTATTTGATTACATCTTATCCTGTTTGTCATTGATCTCCACAAAATGTTCAGTGAGCTTAAGATAATTATTAATTATACATTTGGTTCATAGACTATATTCGAATCACAATAACATAACTCTCTGGATTTGATTAGATTTTAATGTGCTTTGCTTTGTACACAATAAATATTAGTTTGAAATATACTCAGCTTGTGCGCCTAAATGTTAAGAATGTTAGATTTTTTCATGTATGGTTGATTTTTGCTTTATGTTTGCTTACATTAACAAGCCTATTTGTATGGGTTGAGCCACAGGAAGCATTTTTTGTGGGTAGATTTTGTGATGGAGGATAGATGTATAATATATATGCTCTGTGTCTCCTGCTAGAGGCTGAAGCAGCTCGTGACCCCACATGCTGACCTTCCTCAGCCAAAGAAGTATTTGTCAGACTGCGACAGCACCGGGAAATTTGGAGCATTGAGCGTGGAAGTCAAGGATGGACTTATTGCTCCTGACAAAGAGACGCGGTTCTGATGCAGGAAGAAAAATCTAGTACAGTAATCCAGGGACTGGTACAGAAGGAGGACTTTACTGCCCAGTCTATACAAGGACTTCTAACAAAACCTACAGCCCAACAATTTACCTGTTTCATCCTTTTCACTGCAACTGTATCTTCACCAGTGGGTTGTGTCCCCAAATGGGGTCCCAGTCTAAAGCTTGGGTTCGCCAGATTTATGACACATACCTGACATTATGTGAGGATTTAGCAGGAACCCCATTCGTTAATAGAAGAGTGATGGTCCCAGATATATTTGACACTTACAGACCTTTTTAAAAAAAATTAGTAGACCACCACTTGGTCTCCAGTTCTAGGCCGTTTTGTCTACCATCTAATCTAGCAGAACCCACACATGTGTTAGTTTGGTCATGCAGTTTTTCAATAGTTTGATTGAGTTGAATGTGGGATGCAGGTACAATCATAAAATGTGTCATAAGACCTAGGCAAAAAAAAAAATGTAGTGATCAGAGAGCAAGGACTTTCTGTTTTATGATTGTATCTAGGGGTGAGCTTAGGTTCAGCTGTGTGGGTTCTAAGCGTTCCCATTGTAATGGGGCTGTACATTTTATAGTACCATCAAAGGATCTGTTTATACAACATGTGCTAAAATCCAGTCTTATCTTGGGACTATGTGGGCCAGTTGTGTGAAATAACCACAAGCAAGAAACAGTTGTATTCTCATGTAAACCTTATTGGATCATAGAATAGTTTTTATCCTTTGCCGTTTCTTTCACCATACCTATACTTTTCCTCCTCCAGTATATTACGGACTTGATAGTTCATATGTTGGATTTCTGTTACAGGCAGTCCGCTAGCACCAGGGGGCAGTGTGGCAGCATTCCTCCAGTATGCCCAGTCTGCCAGTGCTTTGTGTATGACCACGTGACCAACCCAGAGATATTAGATGAGATGATAGTAAATAGAAAGTCACATGGTTTTCTGCAGTCCCTGGAAAATTATATTACTAGGTTAATTATTGACTTCATACATAGAAGTGACTAGTTTTCTAATTGTTTCTTTTTTTGTTGTATTACTATTTTTTTATGCTGCTGATTATACCTTATTGTGAGATCCTTGTCCTTGTTACCATTGTCTCCAGTACAAAAAGTGTGTTGGTAAATCCAAAATTGTAGGTCCAATTTTCGTCTTTGTGGTGCGATACCGCACGTTACCTGCATTGAATGAAGGCAGCCCATTTAAAGGGAATGGGCTGCCAACGACCCCTAACATGCTTAAAATCACTCGCGACCCTTTTTTCTAATGCAACACAACACAAACACTCTACCACATGTTGTTGTGCATTTTGGCACACTACAATGCAGGTGTGTTGCTTTAGTGCATTGGGTACAATTTGAAATTAACAGCGCTGCAACGTGTTAATGCATGCTATGTGTGTTGTTGTGGGTTGTGGTAATGTGCACGTTACTGCAACATGGAAGTGTGAATGGACCCTTAAGAGTTTTTTTACAGTAACAGGAGGTGAGGGGAAATATTAAAATGGGGACACTTGTTTAAGTGACATCTGCGAAAGAGAGGATTTCTCTTAGGAGGGTCAGAAAGTGAAGGAAAATCTACCTGATGGGTAAAGAAAAAGTCTTCACCATTCCCTACACTGTCCAACACTGAAAAAAAGACAAAGTCTTGACTTTACCTACATTTCATGGTATCCTTGGTATTTTCATTAAATAGGCAACACTTTAGGTCTTACTGAGGCCATTGCAATGACATACAGTAATCCCAGAATTAGCCCTGCCTTAACAGACCTGATTTTCATTGGAAAAGGCTCGACCTCAGTTTGTTCTAATGCTGCAATAAAATATTTTTTAAATTCAGCCAGAACTTTTGTTTTCAGTTTCGGATCAACATGGAATGTGATTTTTCCATCACTTCCTCTTCTGACAGGAAGTGAGGGGAAATCTTCCTGATTGGGGCACAGACCACAAATTAAGAAAAATTCCCCTTCTGTTTTTCAAGAGAAAAAAAAAACTAATTTTGCCTGAAGATGAGCTTCAAAAGAGTTGTAAAGTCCCAGCAGATCCTATCCAGTTATAACATCAGCATTGTAATAGGAACACATACTGGAGTTGTTTCTGATAATACAATCAAAGCTTACATCAACAAATCCCTTTTATATAGTGAGTGCTGCTTTCCGTCTGCCCATCACTTCCAACAACTTACTGGAATCTCATTGTGCTTTGCGTCTCTTTCCCTGCTACTTGATGTGATGCAATCTCAATTTCTCAAGACTACATACCCCATCATGTATTTCTTCCAGCAAGCAATGATGAAATGACATCGTTCAGATGTTGAGTTGTAGTTCAGATAGAAGCCTATGTAAGAGTGGTGACACAACAAAGTTTATATTCACAGGGCTAGGTAAAATTGTGTCAGTGCACTGAGGAAGTACAGCCTATGTGCATCTTCAATTAGTACATTTGGAACATTCTAGATTGATATGGTTATTAGGAGTGGAATATAAATTCAATATAGAAATACATATTTATTTTTATTTTTTGCCCATAGATATCCTTTGAAGCACATGTACCAAATTTGACTAATAATAAACTACGGCCAGTGTTGGAAAGCAGTAACCATGGGGTGGCACTGTATAGCTTTATTAGGATAGCTGTGACCCCCACATTGAAAAAAAAATGGTTTCTTCTAAAGGAAAGAGTTAATAATCACTCATCAGACAGAGCAACACCAGCTGGAAAAATATTCAGCTTCCAGCAATTCAGAGTCTTTTCAGTTCCTGTGCCCTCGCTTTTCTGCGGTGGTTCCACCCACTGGCTGCCACATCACCACTGTATCCGAGGTGCAGGCGGTGGGACAGGTATTAGGGCCTATTTACACTTGTGCATTGTGTCAACACACACTAAAACACATGTGTTAAAGCGTGTTACCACAATGCATGGTAATGCACCTGATCTATGTGCGGCATATTGCGGTGCCTTTCATTGTGAATTGCACTGTACAGTACAGTGCAATGCACAACACACCGCAGCCCAACACATAGCACATCTTATGTGTTGTGATGTGCTACATTGCTAAAAAATGTGTTTTTTCATCTGTTGTGGTGCATTGGCAGCGCGTTAATAATGAATGAGCTGCCTTCACATGACGCATGTTAACACATGGGCCCTTTATTTTATGTTTTATGGTAAGCCCTTCAATGTGTCCAAGTTATTTTAAATCTGTCATCACCCCAAACATTTGCCAAAAGAAGATAATATATTATCCTGTCTGACATCAATGTCTCTTACTGCTCCTCAATTCAAGCATTGCAGCCTCCTTTATAATGTTCATCTTTTGACACTTCCAGAAGTGTCAAATGCCTGTCTCCTCCCACCGCAACCTGTGGTTTCTTCTTCCTACATCACTAGCAGTGACTCAGGGGTCGGAAAGTGGAACCACAACCAGGGCCATCCCTATAATGAGGGGGTTGCCTCAGGGTGATTGGGTCACAAGATGGGGGGCAGCAGGGGTGTAAGGGGGGGGGGCAGCCATAGTGCCACAGGTTGCTAAGAGCTCTTAGGAACCTGGGACGCTCTGGCCAGCTTCCCACCCAGCTCACTGACATTACTGGTCCCACCAAGCTCCTGGCAACCAGTGAAGTCAGTGAGGTGGGTGGGACGCCGGATAGGGATGCTGGACCAGGGCTGTCTTTAATATTGATTGGACCCTGGGCAAACATTTTCTTAGGCCTACCCACCACACCCCACCCCCTACCCGACATGATACGCAGCATACTGCAGGGGCAGAGCAACATTTTGAGATGCCGATTGTATATTAAATAGAACGGTGCCGCTAGGGTTACGAAACCTGAACACTCTAGCACTGAGCTGCATTTATTTTCTGGAGAATATACAGGAGAGAGCAAAGAGAGACCGCCAGGAAATAGAGTGAGGAGAGGAAGCCTAGGAGAGAGAGTGAGGAGAGAGCCAGGGGAGAGAGAGAGTGGAGAGACAGCCAGGAAAGAGAGAGAGGAGAGACAGCCAGGAGAGGGAGAGAGGAGACACAGCCAGGAGAGAGAGCAAGAAGAGACAGCCAGGAGAAAGAGAGAGGAGAGACAGCCAGGACAGAGAGTGAGGAGAAAGCCAGGGGAGAGAGAGAGAGAGGAGACAGCCAGGAAAGAGAGAGAAGAGAGACAGCCAGGTGAGGGAGAGAGGAGACACAGCCAGGAGAGAGAGCAAGAAGAGACAGCCAGGAGAAAGAGAGAGGAGAGACAGCCAGGACAGAGAGTGAGGAGAGACAGCCTGGAGAGAGAGTGAGGAGAGACAGCCAGGGAAGAGAGAGGAGAGACAGCCAGGAGAGGGAGAGAGGATACACAGCCAGGAGAGAGAGCAAGAAGAGACAGCCAGGAGAAAGAGAGAGGAGAGACAGTCAGGACAGAGAGTTAGGAGAGACAGCCAGGAGAGAGAGAGAGAGCAAGAAATAGAGCCAGGAGGGAGAGGAAAGACAGCCTGGAGAGAGAGTGACGACAGACAGCCAGGGAAGAAAGAGAGAAAGGAGAGACATCCACTGAAGAACTTGGTAAGAACTTGCTAAATTGGCCAAAGTATAAACTTTCTGTCACAATTTCATCCATAAGAACATGTTTGGGGGGTGGGGGAAACCATCAGAGTGCAGTCCTCAGGCAAGCTTAGTGATGAGGAGCCCTTCTGAAGCTGAGATACAGACCCTCCTGTGTAAGTTGCATGGCTGTTTACAACCAGGAACAACAGGGCCCCATGGTTGCCCATGTCTGCCTGACATCTTGTGTCTGGATTTTAGCTGCCAGGAAACCTGAACACAGCATTCAAAACCCAGACTGGCCGAGTGAATCCCGGACAGGTGGCAACCCTAGATGCACGTCTGTAACTTTGGCGGGTTTAAGGGGAGCTGCTTTGGGCCCCACAATAATTACTGGGCCCGGGCTTGGGCAACTGCCCCTTTAGCCCCGCATTACAGATGACCCTGTGCTGGACCCAGAGGTGGCACCCACACCCCCCTCTCTCAGTAACGAGCATCCACCTCCAGCACCTCCCCACCAACCGCCCCAGTAATGAGCATCCTTTCCCAGCATACCAGCCCCCCCTGTTAACGAGTATCCACCGCCAGCAAACCAATCCCCCCCCGTCTGGCCTGCCCCAGGGGCGAATACTGTAGAGACAGCCCTGACCACAAGTCACAGTGGGGGGACACAGGCATATGACACCCCATAAAGTCTTGAATAACAAAGTTTTATGTAGGCTACAGCACTGGAACGAAGGGGTGGTTGGAGATTGGGGTGCAGGAGAGGTGAGTATACTGTGTCTTTTTTTGCAGGGAACTTGACAAATGTTTGGAGCAGGAACAAAGTTGCTTTAATGACCAACTCCTAGGAATAGTCAAAG